GGGATGTGCGAGCTACGATGTCATAGCATATTTGAAATATCAACCAGTATATATCGCTCTGGCAGGGTCCAGAAGCTTATCTTTTTTTTTTTTTTCAGGTGTCATGGAGCTATGCTATGTAGGGGTTTGCTGCAGATAATTGTTCAAGATATCGGGTTGCCAGGTAGGCTGCTGTCGGAATAGACGCATAACTTGAAAAGGATGTTCATCATTTTATTTCGTAAATTTATATGTCGGAGAGGCTAAAGACACAATGCATGGTGCGATGTAAGAACAAATGCGTCACGGTTGCTATTCCCCAGGCTTAATGCTTAAGCCTTTCGTTCGAACTCTTCAGCGACTCGATGACTCGAAAAAGGCTGGTATTCCAGAAGTGCACAAATGGCTCCGAATCAAGGTAAGAGGCTCAAAATCTTGACAATGCCATCCATGTTGAGCATGTGAGAGCATAGAGACTTAGGACCCACAGCCAGGGCGACAATATCGACACATTGCTCACAACTTCCAAATAAATAGGCGCCTGAATGCTTGTAATCCAGTAACAGACCAATCTATTTGCCACCCAGCCTGCTCTCGACCTTCTTGCGCTCACTCTCGCGAAGCGCAGCAACCTCTTCCTTAGAAGCATTGACAGCAGCATGCACCTGGTTGAATGGGTTCTCCTCGCTCTTCTCGAATTCCTTCCGACAGAGATCCATACGCTGGTTCCGGCGCAGACCGGGGTTTTCCTGTTCAATCTCTGGCAGGCGCCTCTCCTCAAATGCGGCATATGCGGCCTTGAACCGGCGCTCCGGGTGTCGGTCGATCTTGGATGTGTCCTTCGAGGTTAGAGAGAGGGCATCTAGTGCGTTATCGATACCAGTGGCGCTGAGAGCAGATGCCTTCTTGCTTCCTGCAGGAGCGTCATCCAGTTGTGAAAGATCGAGACCGCGAGTCTTCTTTTGTGCGGTCTTGGCGTTCGCGCCTTTGGCTTTGGCTGGTTGAGAGGCTTCTTCCTCGGCGAGTAGGGCATCACGCTCGGCCTTCTTGCGGGCAGCCTCGGCTTTCTTGGATTCGGCATCTTCCCTGTAGATTGAAGGTGATTAGCTCGGTACTCGAGTCTCTTTGAGAGATCGAGTTCACATACTTCTTAGCATTGCTCTTAGACCCCTTCGTCCATTGCTTTTCCTCCTCTGCAGCCTTCTTCTGGTCCTCAGCCGCCTTTTTTGATGCTGCGGCGTCCGCTTTCTGTACGGCACTGTCAGCTTTTATCCAAATGATCATATGCTTGAGGGATGTGGCAATAATAGCGGGGGCGGGGTTCTAAAAAAAACATACACGAGCGTTTCCGGCGGCCTTCTTGGAGTTCTCACCTGCTGCTTTCTTGCCTCCCATGGTGAAATATGATGTCCAAACTAAGCGCTGGACAGTACCTTCGAAATGGATGTGAAAAGAAAAAGGTGGAATCGAGTTTCTACTACATGATCTGATCTGCGGGACCAATATGCCGACTCCGATGAAGGCGGTGACGCTATCCATGGCCCGTGCGTTAGTATTGATGCCTTAGGAACCTGGCAACAACGGAATGTTCCCCAGCATTTGTAATCTCCTATCTCATCAGCATCTTGAAGTTGTCTGTCTTCTTCTGGCCATTCGTGCTATGGCCTTGATATGGTCCTTGTGATTGATATCTGTGGCCTTTGATTTGATTTGTCCTTTGCCGCCGTCGATTTCACATTTACCGGCTAGTGATACAAGCAGTGCTCCTCCCTACTATGCCCTGATCGTCCACGTCCGTCACAATGGCTTTGCTCTTACGCTTTCTACGGGCATTCGCCTTGCTGCTCCTTGTTAGCGCAGTAGTCGCTGAACACACCTCTAACTGGGCGGTACTTGTATCTACCTCTCGCTTCTGGTTCAACTACCGCCACCTCGCCAATGTCCTCTCACTATACCGAACCGTCAAACGGCTCGGCATCCCCGATTCACAGATTATCCTCATGCTCCCCGATGACATGGCCTGCAATCCCCGAAACGCTTTTCCGGGCACCGTCTACAGTAATGCAGACCGCGCCGTCGATCTATACGGCGACAACATTGAAGTGGACTACAGGGGGTATGAAGTGACCGTGGAGAACTTCATCCGACTGCTGACGGACCGCCTGGACGAGGATGTTCCGCGCAGCAAGCGCTTAGGATCCGACTCTGGCAGCAATGTGCTCGTGTACATGACCGGACATGGAGGCGATCAATTCTTAAAATTCCAGGACGCTGAAGAGATCGGCGCGTGGGATCTTGCGGACGCGTTTGGACAGATGTGGGAGAAGAAACGCTATCATGAGCTGCTCTTCATGATCGACACTTGCCAGGCCAATACAATGTACACCCATTTCTACTCGCCTAACATCGTGGCGACAGGCTCCAGCGAGATCGACCAGTCCTCCTATTCCCACCATGCGGACAACGACGTCGGCGTCGCTGTCATTGATCGCTGGACATACTATGTTCTTGAATTCCTTGAGACACAAGTGACAAGTGTCACTTCCAAACTCAATCTGGGAGACCTATTCGATTCCTACGATGAGTCGAAGATCCACTCTCAGCCGGGCGTCCGGTGGGATTTGTTCCCTGGAGGCGAGCAAGAAGGCCGCCTGCGGACTGTGGTTGACTTCTTCGGCAATGTTCAGAATGTGGAAGTCGAGAATGCCAACGCCACTGAGCCTGGCTCTCTCAAGGAAGATTTGGTTGAGATTGCGAGACTTGTGGAGAAGTGGCAAAAGCGTGACAAGGAATATTCAGCCATACTTGGTAATTCCGCTGGAAATGCCACCGAAGACCCGCATTCGTCATCTTTGCACCTGAAGCTGAAGAGCACTGTTGGGACGACCAAAATGGCGGAAGACAGCGGCTGGGGCAAGCGGCTAGTTGGCATCTCTGTCGTTGGTGCATGCACCGCTATCTGGGTGGCTGGATCGATTTTTGGCCGCTCATCTGTTTAATATTATGCAGCCAAGCAGCAAGTCTTCTTTCCTTTGGCTGCGATCTTAAGTTCTTCCCCGGACTCGTGCATGCATGGCCATAATGTCTTCACTGGAATGGTTTTTGGGAATATAGCATGCTCATGGCGCACGGCGTTACCTCTGTGATTAGTGAATTTGAAAGATATAGTCTGATCAAACACCCTAGGGAAACAACTATCCTTTTGGGACAAGTAATTTACAACAACCCAAATATGCAGGCTGGTATTGCAGACTTCAGAGCGACCATTGAAAATCTCCAGATTTGGGAATCCGAAGTCTGTCTCCGGTGGATCTACTGCCACGAGGAGTTGCAGAAAGGTGATAGTGTGATTCTGGACTGCAGCTCGGGACCTGAGCTTGCTCAGCATATCAAGAATATCGCCAAAGGGCCTTTACCAGCTGAGACTCCGAAAGACCTTGACTTGCTTTACAAGACACCGCGTGGTAGAGATCGAATAAAGCATTTGCGCATGGTAAGACCCAATTTAAAGTCAACAGGTACAGATGAAAGATTTCGCGTAAAGTACCCAATTTGCATTGGGCATGAACCAAGCCTTATTTTGGAAGATCTATACCCATATTCAATTCAAGGAGTCAAGGAGTAAGACATTCAAATAATGAAATATCCAAGAAATATAAGAAGCGGAGCAAATATCGTCGAGGTGATGAAGAGGTATGGAATCCCGGCACGTGCCTCCGACGCGTCGCGCTTGTCCACTTCCCCGGCGCTATGAGAGACTCTTTGCTGCAAGGGCTTCATCCCAAATAATCACCTCACATTTCAGGGTCTATTCTTACGAGCTCTCTTTCTTCATGAGCTGTCGCATGAGCATATGACAATCCCAAGCTGGCCATGTATCTCCCTCGGCAGCTCATCTCACACCTCTACCTACAACTCCTCCGATCTCACCACCCACTTTCTCCACCCGTCTTGATTCTCGTGGCATTAGAGCCAGACGCGCTATGTGCCTGTCGAATTCTCACGTCTCTGTTAAAACGCGACTATATCCCTCATAAAATCCAACCCGTTGCAGGATATGGCGATCTGTCGCGTGCGGGGGAGGAGCTAGTCCGCCCAATGCAGACCACCAATGGTGGCAGCGGAGGAGTTGTGGTCTGTCTCGGTGTTGGTGGTCTGGTTGATTTAGGCGAGATACTGGCGTTGAGCAACCCAGAGGACGAGGCGGAAGATATGGGAGGCGTGGAGATCTGGGTATTCGACGCGCGACGGCCGTGGAACCTGGGGAACGTCTTTGGTGGACAAGCTGGGATGGGTCAAGCCATGGCTGAAATAGATGCGAATGCGCGGCGGCGAGGTCGTGGAGTTGACAAAGGGTGCATCACTTCCGCTTACACCTCGAAGAATGGCGGAGTCATCGTGTATGACGACGGAGACATCGAGGAAGAGCTTCGCAATGAACGAGAGGCATACTACGCGTTACTGGAAATGCCAGAGGTAGACGATGACGACGATGACGCGAGTGACGACGGGTCCGAAGACGAAACGCGGACAGGGTCGAAAAAGCGCAAATCCTGGTCAGGTCGCGAGGACGATGAAGATTCAGAAGGCGAGGAGCCGCCCCACCAACGGAGGAGAAGCAATTCAGTAGGTTTTGGCATTTATATGACCCGAAAATGGGCTAATGCATGATATAGGGCTCTTCTATTGCCTCGTCTCCGACTCGCCGCAAAAAGACTGGAATCAATTCTTCGAACTCGTCGCGATCTGTGACTCCGACAACTGACTCGCCATCCCCAGTCGAGGCAAAGCAACCCTCAGCGCGGTCATTAAAGAAACGTTTAATTAATCTCAAGCGAAGACACGACTCAGTTTTACAATCATACTATTCGTCTGGAACCTCATACTCCGAACCAATTTCGTCCCTGATCTACTCTCTGGCATCTGAGCTTGGACGAGATGATAACGACCTGTTGTGGCTTGCTATTGTCGGTGTCTCCAGTCTGGAACTCAGTGGTCGAACAATGACTGGAGTGGGTATTTCAAACACATCAGAATCAGGAGGCTCAGCAGGCTGGGGTGGCCAACGTGGTGAACACATCCGTCAAATACTTCGCGATGAAGTGCATCGTTTGAACCCGCCTGATCCTCTGGAGTCAAACCGTGACATTCGAGGAGAAATCAACGGTGTCATTCCAACAACCGCTAGATCACCCACCGATACGTCGATTCGTCTTTCTCCTGAACCGCGATTCCTTCTGGTCCGGCACTGGTCACTGTACGAGAGTATGCTTCACAGTCCCTATCTTGCACCAAGGCTGCATGTCTGGACTGAAAATGGCCGCAAACGACTGCATAAACTTCTGGCCAAGATGGGAATCAGTCTGACCCAGTGTCACCAATACTATACCCACATGGATATGGAATTGAAGCGTGTACTACGATCACGGCTGCTCAAGTACGCCCCTATGTATGGCCTAGATGGACTCGTGCCAGCAGAGGGATCTGGGAGTGCGAGTGCCCGTGAGGGCTGGGGATTTGTGCGTTGCTGGGGTTGGAAGGCGTGTCTCTCTGCCACAGACGTGGGTGTTATTGTGGGTGCAATGCTCGAAGTTGGGCCACATGAGACTCTGGCTTCTTGGGACGCCAAACGTCTGCCACGAGCACGCGATGATACAGAGAACAGTGGAATCACAGGCGAATCAGACTTGGCTAGTCTGCTACCTCGGTTCTGGAGTGCATACGACGCCCTTTCATTAACGTCCGAATCACCCACGATTCTCCTAGAGTCTCTACCCCTGGCTCAGCATCTACACCGTGCTATCCTTCGCACTGGTACCTCCTTGCTCTCTAAACATCAAATCCGTCACCTTCGAGCATTCCGCATCGCTGTGGTCAAGGATGGACCCGACGTCAAACTCTTCACAAACCCTGGGGCCTTGACAAAACTGGCCTTGTGGATCGCCGAGGCCATTCGAGTTCAAGAGAAAGAGCGGGGTGACTCAGTCAAAATCGGTCGCAAGAGAGCAGCAGGAACTCCTCTCGTCCTTGCTGGCCTCGATGAAGACCGCGATCTCTATGTAGTCGTCGGCACTGGTGGCGGTGGCGGTGTTGTTGACTTCGCTGCCATGTCCAAGCGCCAGGAGGAGCGCAAGAAGAAGAAAGAAGCCAAGGAGAAGAAACAGAAAGAGCGATCAGAGCGCCGGTCCAAGCGAGCAGCGGAGCGTGCTGAGCGAGAAGAGGAAACTGGTGCCGAAGACGAAGATTCGGAAGAGTCTGAGTCCTCATCAGAATCGGAGTCCGAGGACGAGGAAGATCCACGTGGAAAGAAACATCTTCTCCGCAACCGGTTTGGTATCGCCTTCCAGGAGGTAGTCCAGGAGACGAATGCCCGTGTGCGCATCGACAGCTTCGAGCATTGTGTTGTCGAGGTCCAGAAGGATGATCTTGGCGGCTTCCTCGAAGCGTTGAGTTTCCGCAGTGTGGTGGGCTAAATCCCCTCTACGAACAATCACGCAGTCTACGATCTGTCATCTTTGTCTAATTTCTTCGATGCATGGGATGGGAAGGATATATGGGAGGGGACTCTGGACTCTGAAACCGGCTACATGCATAATGACCGTTGCATGGCTTTCTACGCTTGCAAGCATTCAAACGCCCTTCATTCTTGCATCTGTCTCCACGGCGTTTATGGTGTTTCTTGTTCCTGTGAGGAAAACATGTCTGACTCTATCTAGTCCATAGTTGCATCGAATCTATGCATTTTCGGCCTTCTCTCCGAGAGCTTCCCCGCACATTCCCCGCTTGTTGATCTTCGGGACTTCACCTGCTTTAAATACAACCCTGACTCCATTAACAAGTAGCACAATAATAGGAAACCAAGCCAATCACTCACTATGTCGCAGCCCGAGCACCCCGTCCTCCCCCGCGAGAGCACACTCGCCAATCTCCCCGCAGAGTATCCCACCGACGCGCAAGAGCAAATCACCCAAATCCTCACAACAGCCCCAATTAATCGACTGGTTGTGCTAGACGACGACCCAACCGGAACACAGACCTGCCACGACATCTCCGTCCTAACAGTGTGGGACATCCCAACACTAACAGACGAATTCCAATCAACAAAGCCAGGCTTCTTCATCCTCACAAATTCGCGTGCCCTCCCACCAAAAGAAGCAGAAGCACTCATCCGAGAGATCTGCACAAACATCGCCCAAGTCGCCAAAACGACAAACCAAAAGGCCGACATCGTCCTCCGTGGCGACAGCACATTACGCGGCCACTTCCCTCTCGAGCCGGACGTCGCGCAGTCGGTCTTTGGCCCTGCAGACGCACTTGTTCTCGCCCCGTTCTTCTTCCAGGGTGGGAGGCTTACCATTAACGATGTGCACTATGTCACCGAAGGCGACAGCCTCGTCCCAGCGGGCATGACACAGTTCGCCAAGGACGCGACGTTCGGATATAAAAGTTCCAATCTGCGGGATTACGTGCTTGAAAAGGCACCCGGTCGGTTCAACGCAAACCAATTGTGCTCTGTGACAATCGAGGAGATCCGCACCGGCGGGCCGCAGACCGTCTGCGAGAAACTGCTTGCTGCACCGGTTGGTGGGGTAGTCATCGTCAATGCGGCCACGGAGTGTGACATGCACGTCTTCGTGGCGGGATTGCTACTTGGTATGTCAAAGCTCCGTTCTGTCCCTGGATTGACTAGGCTATGTAACCCTGCTGGCTAACACACATCCAGCCGAATCCAAGGGCAAACACTTCCTGTACCGCACAGGCGCGGCCTTCGTCTCAACTAGACTCGGTATCCGTTCTAAAGCACCCATCTCCGCTGCTGAGCTCCACCTGCCCTTGCCGCGCCAGACGGGCGGGCTTATCATTGCCGGATCATATGTTCCTAAAACTACAGCGCAGCTTAAAGTATTGACGGATCGGCGCGGCACGTCGGGTCAGTTGGCGATCATTGAAATGAAGGTCGAGGAACTTATTGCGTCGCCGGAGACTGTGGCGCGGGCTGTTTCGCGTGTCGTGGAGGAGACGGAATCGCGTCTGCGGGCTGGAATGGATACGCTCGTTATGACGAGTCGGGCGCTTGTGACTGGTGACGATGAGGTGTCGTCGCTGAAGATTGGATCTGTGGTTGCTGCGGCGTTGGTTGGTGTTCTACAGCGGATTGAGGTGCAGCCGCGGTTTATTATTGCAAAGGTAAGATACACTGTTCCTAGTCTCTTGTTTTTATCTGAATAGTGTATTGGTGCTGACTTCTTAGGGCGGGATCACATCTTCGGATGCTGCGACTAAGGGCTTGAATGTAAAGCGTGCTACTATCGTTGGCCAGGCGGCGCCTGGTGTGCCTCTTTGGCGGTGCGACGAGGAGACAAGTCGCCATCGCACTGTGCCTTTCGTGGTCTTTCCTGGAAATGTGGGTGGAGAGGAGACGCTTTGCGAGTTGGTAGAAAGGTGGAGTTAGATATAAACATTAGCTTCGTAGATGGGGATCCATGGGCACTTTTACATAGAAACGTCCTCTGTATGTACATATCTAAGGACATCGAACACCCGACAACATGTCGGTATGTTCTTACATATATCCCTAACATCATCTCGGGCCAAATAGAGCAGATTATTGAAGTCTTCTTACATCGTCAAGGACAGAGGCCATGAGCGGCCAACTATTTTTATGCGTAATAATCGAGGTATTGCGAATAATATGTAGAATACCGTACAGTTTGATTGTATCGGGTTCTAATAGCATATCATCTGACAGCATTTGTAAAGTAACAGCACATCATTTCGAGACATCATATCATCGTGAATCTTTCACAGAGCTGTTTCCTCAACCCCACCAGAAATTCACGCTGATCCCAGCCCTTAATCCACGCACATAGTGCCACCACCCAACAGGAATGTAGAGACACTCGCCTTCCTTGAGAACAGTCTCCACATAATCAGCGTCCATGAACCCAGGCCACATCTCTTCCCATTGCTCATACTCAGCAGGGGAAGTCTCGATAGCAGCCAGGTCCACCTTAGAAGTGTTGGACATGTCAACCTGTCTGCGAGTCGTTGGCAGAGCCCCGGATACAGGATCTGGGTCTGCCGTCTCATCAACAGACGTGACCCATTCTTGTCCCCGTGGGTGGATCTGAGAGTCAGGCGTATGCGGCGAGTACAACCGTACGTACTTGGTCCCCACGACCTGCGCGAGGATATTGTGATGGGGGTCGTGGTGGAGAGGGGAGATCGTCCACGCTGGTCCGATCCAAGTGTTGATAATCGGGTCGCTAGGGATTCCCATAAGCGAGCCTGCATCTGAATTGTTTTCGGCCATGTCATGTCCATTTGGTGCTGCGTCCGACAGGGGGTCATGCGAGGTTTCAGGGACCTGTGATTGAACTTTCGCCTCGCGCTCTCGCTGTTTCTTCTCATACACTGGTGTTCCTGGATCTGGGCCCGGCGGAGTGATATAGCAGTAATCAGGTACACTGATATCATTGCGCAGGACGGGTATTTGAGTAAGTAGGTCATGTTGTGCCATGTATGCTGTCTCTCCATCAAGGTTGGTGACCTGGGGCTTGGTTTCTGGCGTCCCAGTCGGGGCTAGTTTCCCTTGCCATATGTACTTGTCCACAAACTCTTTGAACGGGATAATCTTCTGTCCCCAGTCCTCGTCGGTATACGACCTTCCCACCTCAATGGGGACCAATCTACGACCCCCAAACGTGCGGTCCCACCAGTAGTTCCGCGAAGACCATGGACGCGTCGAAACAGCTGGCCAGTGCTCCATTGCATCTTCTATCACCAGTGGGGTGCGAACGTTTTGAATGTGGTGTTCAATGGAATCGAATGACGGTGCCGATAGACGCGGGATAGGATGGTCCAGATGGGGGTTACGGATCGCATTTGGAGGGAAGAGAGGAGGCGAGAATTTTCTCCGCTTCGCAGTAGGATATTCCGGACTATCAGGCTCGTCGTACTCAAATTTTGGTGGTTCTGTAGCTGCCTGCAGCGTGGATAACAAGGATTCGACCAGCTTCTCGCGGAGGGGGGCTCCAGACATGATCAAGACGTTATCAAGGATTGCCACGACGTCTGATAGCCATGGCGCGTCGGGAGAGAGCTTCGGCTCAGTCGCTGCATTGTTTATGTCTTGAATAAGTTCCGGGACAACTAGCTGCTGGGTTTCAAATCTGGCTTTTGAGATCAGGCCGCATTTCGTGATGATGATGACGCAGGCCTTGACGATAGACGCGTCCGTGTAGAGACGATGCCAGCAGGCGTGCACATCCTTAAATGGAAAGGAGTGTAATTTTGAGTTAGCAAGCTCAAGTGCTTTATCGGTGTCGTTGAAGAGAAGCCCTTGAAGGTGAGGGTTGTCGCATTGGAGGATGGGGTCGTCAGAGCTCGGCTCGGCGATAACGGACAACGCGTCACTAAGGACCGATGAAAGAGCCATGGCGAAGGGAAAAGGTGAACGGAAAGAAAGAAAGAAAGAAATGAAAGAAAGAAGGGATGTTAGAGACTAAATCCCGAGGTAATCCCAGAGTGTCCCCCAATGTATCGATCGTGTTATGGTGAATTCGAATTCCTCCAACCGCATCCAAAAAACAATTACCCAAACCCTCCATATGTCATTTTGGCAATCAAACGGATCAAAAAAGAATACACCAGTTTTTCATGTCCCTTAGGATCTAATATCGTGGAGCTAGGTGGTTACTTAGAAAATAAAACTAAAGCCAGATGTATAGGAGGGTATTATAGATTGTAGGCAATATTCAAGGTATTGATGTTTATTATATAGTACAATATTTTCATGACCGAGGGATTCCTAATATACATGCTTCATTCGAGAAGCTCCATCACCAATTTGGGAATTCGAGACACACCTTCGCCTCTTTTGGCACTGACCGGAACAACACACACTTTCTCCTTCCAAGCCCTTTCATGGCCCGATGGGTGCTCAATCGAACCATCCCGAACACCAGACAAGTATTTTTGCAGATCACGGAATTGGTCCTGTGTGTTCTCCAGGTCTGCCTTGGTTGCCACGACAAACCAAGGTTTTAGATGCAGAGGTGTCATCGCCAGCGGAGGCAACGAGCCGTCGGGGTTGGTATTTGATATCGGGGCAGGTTCTCGGTCAAGTATATGTCGGCGATCCGCATTTTCAGCGAATGGATTCCATTCAATGAGGTCGTCTTCCTCGGTAGAGTCAGGATCTGTACCGCGCATTCGCTCATACTCTCCAAGTTCGTGCCACAGTTTCTGGAGTTCCTGTACAGGATCGCCAAGACTGAGATCAACCACGAAGGCCAGAATCCCAGCTCGGTCGATGTGTCGAAGGAACCCGAGACCAAGTCCTCTGTCGAGATGGGCGCCTTCTACCAGACCCGGAATGTCCGCAATAGTAAAGTGTGTGCGACGGGCCTTCGACTCAACAAGAGGACGACCCTTCATGTCGTCAGTGATGACAGTGCCAATGCTGGGAGAAAGTGTCGTGAACTCCCAGTTTCCAATGCGAGTTCGACTGTTAGTCAATGAGCGGAGAAGCGTACTCTTGCCGGCGTTCGGTTTCCCAACCAATCCGACGTCTGCAAGGAGCTTAAGCTCAAAGTCCAGCTCCAACATCATCCCACCTTCACCTCGGCTTGCGAATTTTGGTCGTCCCATTGTGCGTGTGGAGAAATGGGGATTCCCTAGCCCGCCAATACCACCGGCAGCCAGAAGCATGGGTTTATCCATGGGTTTTGAAAGGTCCAGCCAGATGGGAGACTTGGGTTCCATGGCTGCTATATTCTGTCGCCGCGGATATGATTTCGGGAACTGCACCATAAGGAAATCAGATGGCTTTGCCGCGGGGTGGAGCACCCATCGGTCATGCTGGATAGGGTTGAACTCCGCCTCTTCTGTTTCTTCGAACCCTTCTTCATCTTCAGGATCATCAGGATCCCGCCAAACCTCTTTCTCCTCTTTGGCAAGATAGGACGCTTCTTCCGCCGCCTTGATGCGGGCCCACTCCACCTCGACCGGATCATAACGGCTCACCTCTCGCACCACGGTGCCGACAGGTACCTGAAGGAGGACGTCCTCGCCTCGTTTTCCACCCTTGCTTTTACCCTGTCCGTTTCGGCCCCTGCTAGCTCTGATAATGCCTCTGCGGGCCAGCTTGTGAAGACTCGTCAAGCCCTCGACGGTCTGGATGTAGATACCGCCTCCGCTGCCACCGTCGCCGCCGTTCGGGGGTCCCTCTTCAACGTACTTCTCGCGCAGGTAAGAAACACAGCCATGTCCACCGGATCCAGCGTGTATTTTCACCCGGCATTTGTCTTGAAAAATGAACCGCGAATAATCCTCAGGAGAAGGGTCCAGATGCGACAGGTCTGGTGCTACCTCGTCAGATACGAAATTTTTGCTGGAATGTGGTGTTTCAGCGGCGGCATTTGTGCTCTGAAACCGGTTCCGGGCGACGCATGGTCTTCGAAGGTCCTGTAGGAATAATCGGCTGCAACGGGCTCGTCTTGAAAGGAATGGTCGTACGGGAAGGGAAAAAAAGACTCGGGGATGCGCCATGCTGTGTGATTGGCGGCTATCTCTCGCTCATTCTGCGAATGCGCGCTGTTTCAAGTCTTGAAATAGTCGGTCAGGATTGGATCTTCATAGGGCGCAGATATACCGGTTTTCAATGAATTGGGATATGACTTCAGCGGATTTCTCACCTGGCAAGGTCCTGATAAGATCACATGGCGATAGGCCATTTATAGTATCCCCACTGAGTGCAGAATATTTACCCATAGTATATCCTTTTTTAATTTTTACTTTGCCTCTACTTTTTCCTAATTCAAATCCATGTTGCATTCTTACGTATCCAGAAATGGGCTATGTGAATATCATGCAGCACAAACCTGACTTGATATTCAGAAGGGAATCATTCGCCAAGGACAAATGAGCTGATCAAGGCAATGCCCAACTCTGCATCTTACCGTTTGCTTGGTACTACCTCATAAAATCTCTACATTGAAATAATAACCATTACAAATAGCCGTTGCGTTCCCACATCTGATCCGTAGGGTTACAACAGCTACCCTTGTTTGCATCTGCACGTTGCCGCTGTGGCTCCCCGATCCTGTGACAGAGTGACCAATGAGCATATGCGGACTCTACTTGAGTCGACTAGCTCATTTCAATCTTGTCTGATTGCGACTCGACTCTTTGTCTATTCTTCGCTAATATGTCGTTGAGCCGCTGATATGTAGCAAAGGAGAGAGAAAAAAGAAACGGTGTGCTGCCTTTGTTTGGTTGAATACTGTATTTTTATTTGCTTTTTCGGCCTGCCGAGATCTTGAATATCCTTTTTCTTTCGGTCTTTGATATTATTATTAGTACTAAGCCATACATGGCAATATCAACTGCAGCAGTGAAGAACCTTGGGAGCCATCAATATGCATCCATGGATCACCAGCATGACCATTACTCGGGGACTGGTCATCAATTTGGACTTTCTGCCTAGGTGAGGTTGTGATGACTCAGTGACATCTTTCCCATTCATTACTTCCCTGTGATATCTTTACTCAGGAAGCAATCTCTCATAGCCCGAACTCGATGTCCACATACCAGAGAAACCGGGATACTTTCGAAAGCAACGTCTATACCACCGAGCAAAAACTGAGCATCGAGCAGTGGCTTGAAGATACTACGAAAAGGATTGACGGCCCCACGATTGCACTAGGGTTGAATATGCCCGAGGAACGCCAAGGCAGCTTGGAACGGCGGTCTCTCATAGACGAGGGACTACCAGAGAGAGTGGAGAAAGCTGCGAAAAGAATGAGAGATTTGAGAGAGACAGTCTGCAGACATGAGGAAAGACTCAAGATATCTGAGCTACAGGAGAAAATACTTGAAGAAAAGATTACTGGCTTGCAAGAGCAGCTCAGCATGCGGGACTCCTGTCAACACAGCGGTCTAAAAGACAGGCTCGCCATGCATGAAAGACTACTCGAGGTCGCCGACCAACAAATAAACACACAGCAAGAGCTTATAAAACACTTGCTCGAAGTACAAGCCTCAACTTCAGGACAACTCGCCCTTGTTACACAAAAGCTCTCGCAACAACCCGAACGATGTGGGCGACAGCCACAAGTGGAAGAGCCCGAGGGACAGCACTCTAATCCGGGCGAAGTCAACAAAGGTACAGATGCTTCTGATTATGTCCTTGTCTCAGAAGATGAAGCAACTAGCTGAACTCTTTGGCCTTGTGTTTGTGTCTTTGCAATGTGTGTTCTTTACGGATTCGGTGGTCGCTCCAGCAAGACACTCCTAGCTTCGCTCCTATTAGATGTATTAATTACATTGCGCTAAACCAGTTGGTGTTCTTTTCTTTTCTATATAAATATTGCTCTGCGCCTCCTCGTTCCTTTGCTGCTGCTGCTTCTTAGCACGCAGCCGCTCCTGCTCAGCGAGCGTTTCTTCTCGCGTCCGTTCCCACATCCGTGTCCATATGTATTCAACGTACTCGTCCCCTGTCATCTGCTCCAGCTCGCTCTCTGGGTCGCGTTGTAAATAGTACACGGTAGTTATGGATGAGCTGCCCGTAGACGGATTCCTAGTAGGTAGCGCCTTTATCGTCGCCGAGAGCGTCAAAGAGAGATTCTAATTGCCGCAGCAAGCCGTTCCTAGATTTGTTTCTGGTGGTTATGGGATAGCTTTATACCAGCCAGTACGTAAGATTGGACAGAATAAGCGCATTGCTCTTGTGTGCAATCCCTGTATGGATTCTCGTCTCGGGATAGTGTGGCTTTCAATCGTGTATTAATTTTAACCAAATTCAACCATTATATATAAATCAGGGCGGTTCTTGAATATTACTCCTTGGATGTTGTCCTAAGGATGTATCCACCCACCGGCTGCCTCTTGCCTTTGTCTACGTCGAGCGACATAGTTATAACTCCCAAGTGACATACCCCAACCTACAATGTCTTTATTTACGCGAAAGGAACCATGCATATAGGCGAAAACTAGGCGGGTACGAAGGCAAGATATATGGACTTGCATGTCTTTATGTGCAATGCCAGTAAACGACAGATCAATAGGACTTAAGGTGAATAAATGGTACAGAAGGTGAATGCCTACTGTCGAGAACGGTCTCTATAATGGTAAGCTACAAAAGCAAGTAACATATAGTTAGATACCACGGCAATGATACCTACCTAGGTAGACGGCCGAGCTTACGTGAGAGATGATTTGAAATTTGAGATTTGGAATAGAAGTCAGTTCCGTGCAACAGGATAAGATTCATCTTCGCTATCAACTAATGGGAATATGGAGCAACCCATGTGGTGGATATATCATTGGGGACGTATCATGGGTTTTTATTGGTCCGTTGGCCCTAGCTCTAATGTCAGGTCTATCACAGACTCTGTGATCCGCTGTCACGTCTAGTGTACATGCTAGAAAGGCGATCACATCTTGGCTCCGGGACGGCAAGCAAAAGTACTAGAAAGTCCACTGTACTTTTGCTGGGAGGTTCAGCACCCGAAGATCATGTGGGCTCTGTACGGAGTAGTTCGTATCTGGACTCTATCTGGAGATGATCGGTGGCGGTACTTTTAGGAGTTCGTTCACAATTCAGTAAACTTTATGAATGTAGGTGTTCATGCATACAACCTGCCTTTTGGGACTGAGCTTAATATCGTATTGGGTAATATTTGACGGCATTGACTTTTGCAACTCCCTGGGCCGTACGCTGAATATCGATTAATAATATGTACGGGGTAGTTAACTACATATCACCAGCTATACATGGACAACTTGTGTTATAGACTTGAGGTCATTCTGCGGTTTGTATGGGCAAATTATGCGTACAGCACTCTGCCCAGAGTCATATCATCCACCTCTATTGAGGCAAGGCAAATGAACATTCGAGTCATTAAAGCCCCGGCTTGCGTCAAGGACAAAGGCCAAAAATCGGCCAACTAGTCTTTGTATCCGCTACTTAGAAAATGAATCGTACGGAGTAGCAAAATGAGTTGTCGCTCGAAGTCTAGATCTAATAGGCACCTTTGGCGCTGCATTTGACTTAAGAGTATCGATTCAAGTCAGACAAGGACAGGGAGATGTCGCCTAGTCCAAAGTTATACAATAGAACGTAGCAAGTGTTGGAAATCGACAAGTCATCAGGCAAAGAATCCACCCTCTCCAAGAGGTAGGACCGCACGTGATGCGATGAAACCAACATCCTTCGGTGCCTAGACCGCTGCAGGGGAATCAATCTTGATCACATCAGAGAGTCCAGTGTACATGAAGTAAGGCGACAAAGTACGTAACAATTGTACAGATCCAGCTGAGATCAAAAGTCAGCGGAATTCGGCTCCCCCGGTACCTTGCGGGGCCAAAAGAAATCAAGAAAAAACTTAAAAAAGAAAGAAGCTCTATCAGAAACAAAGAAAAACGAGAGGCAGGTTCAACAGGAACAGGAATGTTCACATGACCGCAAGTAGAATCGATAGCGTGAAAATCCTTTCGAAAGACAAGATGTGATTCGTGTCCACTCGCGGAACTTTTGTTTTGTACCCGTCACCGCGGCACCGGATCCCTGCCTTCCGCTCGCCACAGGTGGGGATCAGGGAGATCCTTCCTGTTGGTCACGGAAATAGGAAAAAACAAAGAGATCGGACCGTAACATAGGTACAGAGATAATACCATCCCATTCTTTACCTTAGCCCCTCTTGGGAGACATCGGGAGACACTAATGTACTCCATATATTCTTAACTTAGTACCGTGGAACTGGACTCGTAGTTCCGTGGTCTTTCTGGCGGGGACCCCGAGAAAAAGGGCGATTTAGAGATTTTATTGGTCCGCGGAGATCCCGTTCAGCTGCCGGACCGGCGCCAGAGTTCAGCTTTTTACAAGACACACTATGGAGTTAAAAAAAAAGACATGGCAAGGCAGCTGGTCTCCAGAGACAAACTGGGTTCCGATCTTGACAGTCAAAATTTGCTCCGTACATCGTATGCATTATGCACGGGAATTTGCTTCGGATACGGTTTGCCGATTCTACAAAAGTACACCTGTCACTCACTCCATGCAGGCTCCAAGTAGTGTCAAAAACAACCCATAGAATTTCAATCTTCCCCAATCTTCCGGGATCTAATACAAAGCCATAGAATCTAGACCGGCAATTGAAATGTGGCGCTTTAGGAGTGTCGAATGGCGATCGATCTAAACGATTAAATTGAAGATTCAGCTATCCATGGTACAACGTATTTTGTAGTGCTCCGTACTTTGTATGCACTCTCCAGCACTGCTAAGTAAGGTCCCACCAGTGTCTAGAATCAAGGGCAAAAGTCCAACATGGATAGTATGATTCCCATCAGCGATCTCCAAAACGAGACAGCCAAAAGCATCGTGTAACCGATCGCGAGAACATTTAACGCAATATTCCAGATCGGAAGCAAATGTAGTGAACCGTATTGACAATCGGGAGCGCAATTAACCTCAAATCGAAGCTTCTGGCCTCGATCGATCGGGTAGACTGCAGTGAAGTTACGAGTTCCCGTCTAAAGTGCATACATACTCCGTACTCCCTATGTTGTACACATCGCAAGGACGGCACGACCTGCGGCGCTTTATTGATAGCAAGAAATGAAGCCTGATTTGATCGGAATTAGGGGAAGAAAGCTGCATCTATCCGAATCGAGCGGGATCGCACTTGCGATGGGCCTAAAGACAATGGAATTAGAGTGATCTGCAATGTACATCACCTACATTGATATGTACACACCTTTTGTACAACCATCGAGAGGGGTATGTTCGTTCGAACCCTTGTTTTCGCCCCTCAATGTAGTATTTGCCCCTTTTCCGCTATCGGTCTCCGGCCAATATTTAGCTTTAGATGAAATTTACCACCCATTTAGA